AAGTAAATTAAAGACAAATAAAGCCCCAGGACCAAATGGCATACCACAGAATTTTGGAAAAATGCTCCCATAGAAATCCATGAAATGTTATTTGTTTTATACAACAAGGTATTTGACCAGGGAATCTTTCCTGATGAATGGGGTAGGGGATTAATATCGCCTGTATACAAGAAGGGAAACAAGGATGACCCCGGTAATTATAGGAGTATTATGTTATTAAACGTCATAAGTAAAAATTTTACAAGTATATTAAGTAATAGATTAAATACCTGGTTAAAACATTATGATAAAATTGTGGAAGAACAAAGTGGTTTCCAGAAACATAGAAGCACATTAGATAATGTTTTCATTTTACGTACTCTTGTGGAAAAATAAGTCTTTCAGTTAAAAGGTCGTTTCTATTGTGCATTTGTAGACTATGAGAAGGCCTTCGATAGGGTACATCATTGATTTACAAATTATCGAAGACCGGTCTCAAAGGCAAATTATTTAATTCCTTATATTCAATGTACCAGCATGTAAAGGCAGCAGTGAAAACTCCCTGGGGGGTAACTAACTACTTTAATATTAGTATGGGTTTGCAACAGGGCTCTGTGATTTCACCTCTTTTATTTTGTTTCTACATTAATGATCGATCTTCATAGAACTTTTCAACAAGGTCATGAAACTGTAGTTTACCTATGTGCTTTGAAATTATGTTACCTATTGTATGCAGATGACCTGGCTCTGTTTAGTAGTACACCTATTCGTTTACAACGATTATTGAATAATTTGGCAGACTATTGTTCAAAGTGGAAACTTACAGTGAAACTTAAGAAAACTAAAATTATTGTTTTTCGGAAAGGGGGTCGTTTAAAAAACAGTGAAAAATGGTTTTGGAAGGATAAAAGCATTGTAACTGTTTCAAAATATAATTATTTGGGGGTTATACTTTCTAGTTCTGGAAAGTGGTACCAGGCACAAAAATGTTTCTCAACAGGCTAGTAAAGCACTTTTTTGTTTGGAAAAAAAGTTACAGAATCTGGGTGGTGTGCCACCTGATGTTGCTTTTCGTATATTTGATTGTAAAATCCTCCCAATTCTCCTCTACGGTAGTACTATTTGGGGCACACATTCTGATGATATTAACATATTAATGATGTGGAGAGAGTACACAATAAATTTTGCAAATTTTTATTAAGTGTTAGTTTGGTTGCCACTAATTCCCGCTGTTAGGGGAGAATTGGGTCGGCATTATCTTAGAGTGTATGTAAATGTTGAAATTATTTGTTTTTGGTTAAAATTAATAAGTGATGTTTCTCCACATATTTTAAAAGAATCGTATAAATTTCAACTTAATATGGCAGGAGCAGGTACTATCTGCTGGGCTTTGACAGTTAAAAATCTTCTCTATAAATATGGTTTTGGACATACATGTGTTCGGATTGAACAATATGCAAGTAATTCTATCGCATTCCTGGAACTGTTTAAACAGAGGTGCTTTGATATTTTTAGACAAGATTGGAGCTCTGAAATTAATAGAAGTCCCAAACTCGTAACTTGTTGTAAGGTGAAACATGAATTAACATGTGAGAAATATCTCACAAATATTTGTCAGTCTTCTGCAATATACAGAAATGCTTTATGTAGATTAAGGATCTCGTCCCATGCACTACAAATTGAAAAGGGTAGGGCCAGTGGTACTCCACGTAACCAGAGGTTGTGTCCTTTTGGCTGTAATGTAATTGAGGACGAATACCACTTTACATTAGTTTGTCCCAAATATAACTCCCCAAGGTTGAAGTTTATTGCACAGTATTACTACTCCCCACCTACAGAGATAAAGTTTATTTCATTATTTCAGAATCAAACCCCCATATATACAATTAAACCTTGGTAAATTT